CACATGAACTGGTTCTTCTTGACGTGGAGAGGTATGATGAGGTTGGGACGTCGCATGTGACGTCGCAACATGTGTTTCATGATCATGATGAATATGATTGGGATGCTCTGTTGGGTTAGTAGTCAAGGGCATCGTGCTCGAGTTTCTAGGCATGGCTCGAGCTATTAATGAAGACAAACCCTGTATGAATTCCGGGTTTTGAAGGAAGTTTGTAATATTCGCGGCCGGAGGTGGTGGCGTTGTACGCCGCGGGGAATGATTAGTTGAATGGCTCTGCCCGGGGTGAGTAGCATGGTCTCGCCCAGACTGTGACATGATGATTCTATGTATGCAAATGGGTTTAACAGCGAATGAAATTCAAGCGCCCTTCCTCTAGCGCCAAACTGTTGTTACATGGAAATTAACAACAACCAAATTGGGATGTATGTTAAGTTAATCTAGATGTTTAGCGATGAAAAGCTTGTGTCTTTTATTCAGAAAAATAATTTGTGGCATGTAGTAAGGTGGTATCCTTCTCTGTCTGGGAAATTCTCTATTTCCCTTTTATATTTACATACCATAATTATCTGTACAGTAATCATTATATTTTGAACGGTCAAAGGCGGTCCTTGGTGGTTTCTCTTGATAGCTTGCCACTTGGATAAACGTAATGATGAATTACGCTGAGTTGTCGCCGCCTTACCATGCTGAGCTGGCATGTTATAGATATCGGCCCACTTAGTTATAACTGGTACGTTGTGGCTGATATGTAGTAACCGACATGTGTTGACCGACATGTGATATCGGTCAACTTTAGTAAGGATGTCGGTTTCTACTGAATCTTCATTGTGTAGTTATCTGGAAGTTGGTAGAAGTGTCTCTTGCTCACATGAACTCTAATCACCATTATATTGATCTCAATCAACGGATTAATGTCGCATAATCCGACTTACAGAAAATGATATCAACATAATATTTATATAATTAATTTATTATGCATATTTACTTAATTCAGGGTACATATTTAGTTCTTACGAAATGCATATTTAGTTCATGAACAATGCATACCTATTTTATTTGAGTTCCAATCATAACAATTTATTTGTGTTATTAATCAATTTAAAATTAAGATTAATTATATAATAAAAATTATTTGTGTTATTAACTAAATATGCATCTGTTATGAACTAAATATGCATCATGAATTAACTAAATATGCAGCGAAAAAATATGCAATTAAATGTACATTTTATATAGTTAATTTATGATGCATATTTAGTTAATTTATTGTGAAATATTTAGGTAATTTATGATGCATGTTTAGTTAATACAAAATGCATACTTGTTATATTTAAATTAAATATATAACGATATTTATATAGTTAATTTATGATGCATATTTAGTTTATTCATGATACATATTTAGTTCTTATGAAATGCATATTTAGTTCATGAACAGTGCATACCTATTTTATTTTGAGATCCAATCATAACAATTTATTTGTGTTATTAATCAATTTAAAATTAAAATTAATTATATAATAAAAAATCATTAATTATTATATTTAAGTTAATTGTATAAAATGTATATTTTATTGCATATTTTCGTTGCATATTTAGTTCATTCCTGATGCATATTTAGTTAGTAAAATGTGCATATTTAGTACATAAACAGTGCATACATAGTTGATATTATTGCTGCATATTTAGTTTATAAGGATGACATATATAACTCATTTCTTATGCAGATTTAGTTCATACTAAGTGCATAGTACTGTATGCATATTTACTTCATACAAAATGTAGAATAGGGGTCAACGGTCAACGGCTAAAGTCAACGGTCAACGCCGGAAGTCAACGTTTTTTCGCCGGAAGTCAACGGTCAACGCCGGAAGTCAATGGTCAACGCCGAAGTCAATGGTCAATTGTCAAAATAATATTTAAATAACTAAAATAATAAAAATAAAGCATTAAGTAATAAAAATAAAGAATTATTAATTAAATGAAGAGTTAAATCTTGGCCACACATCATGTACCAATCTAGTGGCTAGGAATGGGTCTCCCATTCACACTTTAAATATGTGTACTCATTGGATCCAACCCCTATATATATATATATATATAATATGTATAAGAATATGAAAAATATTTACATTATGTTAATAATTAAACTTATTAAAAATCAAAATATATATAAAGAAAATAGCATAAAATATGTATAGAAATGTAAAAAGTATTTACAATATAGTACTAATTAACATTTATTTCATATATTATTTTTATTTAAATTAATAATAATTTTTATATATTGAAAAATATAATAACAATACTTATATTTTAAATTTTTAGGTAAGCTTTTGAAAATATTTATAATGATTTACTCTTTGGTCTCTCAATTGTAAATCGATTTACATAATTATGAAACCGAGTATTTATTGATTGGATTGTTACATTTTTAATGTTTATTTTTTACTCTTTTTTTTGTGTAATCACATATTTTTAATTTTATTTATTTCTTAAAAAATGTATATTTGATAAGCTTTCATAAACAAAAATGTTATGGAATGTTGTGTAAAAATTCAATTTAAATCAAATTTTCAAACCAAAAACTTATTTTTTTCGATGTTGATTATAAATACTTGAAATCTTTCTTCTTCTTTTTTTTTTTTCTTTTAGTTTGAGGGTGATACGGTTTTTAAATTTTTAAAAACTTAATGGTACACGTATCAATACTTATAATTATAATAAATATATTTTTATATGAAATGAGTGTTTCGATTTAAACTAATAGCCTGTTATTTAACATTTAAAATCGGGCCGCCTGAGTGAAATTTCTAGATCCGTCACTGTCTGGATTATGCATAAATATATTGATTATTTATGGGCATTACATGTATTAATTGCATTTATTTATCATTTCTTATTATAACCAATGAATTCTAAATGTATTATAAAAGTTAATAATTTATGAATTTTTTTTTATCAATTTTACATATATAATATATCAAATTAATCATCTTCTAATATGCTTCGATTTAACGTCCATATTATTTTTATAAGAAATTAAATCATATTCATCATTTTAATAACATTATTTTTTATTAATATTAATTAGAAAAATAAAATTATTTTTCAGTTAATATAGTTATGTTTAAAAGTAGGTATATGATGTCAGTTAACAGAGTTATTATAATATAACACATATAATTCGCACAAGTAACAAGTGTTATTTTAAAATATAATAATACATATTTTTTTACACAAAGAAATATTTAAATTTTAAAACACTTTTTTTCTCATTAATTTTAAAATTTAATAATAATGATTTAACATATACCTGTTTAATACAACTGCTTAATTTTAAAAATGATATGACGTATAAAAATAATAGAATTATCACATCTGTCATTATGTGAAGCTTTATTTTAATATAGCATGATTCACGTGAATTAGTACGTAAGTAGGTGTATTTTGTGTGAGTAGGTAAGAATCAACTTCATTGATCTGTTCACTCTATTTTTAATTAAGTTATTAAATAATGCAAGTAGCTTTATTTTCAACCATACAATTTCACGAGGTCCACACATTTATTTTTCAATTATTTCGTGCAGCGGACATGATAATCTCAAGTGCTACAAGTTGATATTTTTGCTACATAAATTAACTTTAATGAATTATCTGTACCAAAAAAAAAAAAAAAAAAAAAAAAAAAAAAAAAAAAAAAAAAAAATTTAATGAATTATCAGAGGACGAAAAAAGGCAAAATTTAAAAAATTATATAAAAAAAGACATTATGTTGTCCCTCACGAAAAAGAAACATATAGTTAGCATTTTAGTCGAAAAAGATATTGTAATCACCTTACTCGGATAAAAAACTGATGTGGCATGATTATGTAATAACGTGTAATTGTAACTTTCTTGCGCTTTTCTACAGTCAGGTACCCTTGTACTTTGGCTTGTACTTACCTAACAACAGGTACCTTTTAAATGAACGTCATGTGTCCTTTTTGTAATAAATAAAAAAATAAATCGAAAAAAAGCTTAATGCAAATACGAAAATGCCCTTACTTAAAAAAAAAAAAACAATTTTACTTAAAAGGTGTTGAACTTTTGTAATATTAACATATGACCTAAACATAATTATATATCTCAAATAAACAAACAAACAATTAATCCAATATTTAATTTCGAACGATCTTCTGTAAACAAGAAAACACTCACGAATATATGATTGGAAAAAAGACGTTCTAAGATTTGACATTTGAAGAATAACACGAAGGTACATAATTTTGTTTTCTGATTCGATATTTGAAGAACAACAGTATGTGAAATTTGTTTCCAATTTCTTCTTCTTTATTTCGATTACTGTCCAATCATGCGGTAATGCACATCCATGATTTTGATGTGCATCCGTGATTTATAAGACATAGATACGAATAATGTTGTAATGTGAATTTGTATTTGCTAATATGGATAATTCATTATTATGCTTCTCATAAAGAAGCACAATAGATGTTTGACGAAATGTTTGAAGGGACTATGAAGACGCAAAACAGATGAGCACCAAAAAACAACTTGCCAAAAATTACAACCGAACAAGTTGTTGTTATTGTTGTTGTAGTCATAAACAATATTTATGACATCAGATTGACATTTTATAATACCATCATTAGCTTTAGTCATAAACAAGCACAATTGCTCAAAATTAATAATGTTGCAGTTTGAACGTGCTCGCCTGGTAATTGCATGTTTGAATTTGTCTAATTTCATCATGGAATTGTTGTGGTAAATGGTTATTAACAAAATTAATAATGTTGCAGTTTGTACAGTTCATTCCCACAGCGTTCTGGAATATGCACATCAAAGATGAAAGGTGGTTAAAAAAGAAAGTTTATTTTTTGACTGACCAGTGTTTTTACCGTTTGGATGTAACTAAAAGGAATGGTAAAAAGTTAATCTAACATGAAGATGCTCGTCAATTCAGAGAACGTAATGGATTGATGGAAGGTTGTTCATTTTCATTTGTGCTGCTAGGAGGATATCAGCTGGTGTTTAGGATTATAATGTAGTTGCTGTGACCGGTATAAACTATTCTATTTTGTCTTTGTAAATTAATGAATTATGCTGTAATTTTATTTGGTGTGTGTTCTGGATAGGGATATGTTTATTATATCCCATGGAACCTTTTGAATTATGTTGCATAATCCATTGAACATGTTAAATTTTTAGATTAACATGTCACATAATAAGATGAATTTTTTCTATAATAAGCTGAACATGTTGCATATACCAAGATGAACATGTTGCATTATGTGATGAATATGTTGCATAATACATTGAACATGTTACATAATGAGATTAATCTGTTATATAATAAGATCAATATGTTGCAAAATATATTCAACATGTTAAAAATTAAGATGAACTTGTTACATTACATAATAAAATGGATATGTTCTATAATAAGGTGAATATGTTATATAATAAGATGAACGTGTTGCATATACTAAGATGAGCATGTTACATAATAAGATGAATATGTTGTATAATAAGATGAATACGTTACATACATAATAAGATGAACATTTTACATATACTAAGCTGAACATATTGCATTATGAGATGAATATGTTTCGTAATTCGTTGAACATGTTAAAAATTAAGATAAACAAGTTACACGATAAGATGAATATGTTGTATAATGAGATGAATATGATGCATAATATATTCATTGAACATGTTAAATATAAAGATGACCTTGTTACATTACATAATAAGATGGATATGTTCTATAATAAGGTGAATATGTTATATAATAAGATGAATGTGTTGCATATACTA